CGGTCAGAATGATCATTTAATCATTTGAAACATTTTCATTGATGTCAAAGACCTATTTCTATGTCTATCTCTATGATTGGCAGTTATGTCTTATTATTTCGTTGTTTATAAGTTGTTTGTTTTTATAGTGATTAAGATTATAACACAATGGAGACTGCTGTACCCCTATTTTTGACATTTTTTCCTATTATGACTGATTGTATTGTTCACACATTGTTGTAAATTTGATGGAATTTTATGCGACTGTCATACAAGTGAGAGGTTTAGCTAGCTATTAAACCAGGTTTAATCCACCATTTTCTACATAAGGAAATGCCTGTGCTAAGTCAGGAATATGACATTCGCTTGATGTGTTTAAGCTTTTGATTTTGCCATTTTATAAGGGACTTTCCGATTTTAATTTTCCAAGGAGTTTTCGGTAATTTGTTATTTTACTTTTTACATTATGTTTAGACACTAGTCATACGACTTCAGTTCCTACGCCGTCGTAAATATTTATACTGAAATTACGTCCATAATTTTGTTTATCGGACACACAAAAGTTGGTCTCATTCAAAATAAGGTAACAGAGTACATTCATACAAATCAAGGTTGTGAGTTGTTTCTTTTGTAAAGAAAACAAAATGAATGTATAAATAATTTTTTATAAAATAAGTAAAAAAAAAAAAGAAAATATTTACATGTACAATACCAATTTCATTTATTGAACTGAGGATAAGCAAAATATAAAGTTGCTACCGATGTTATGAGTTTAGAATCTTTGGCTATTATTTTCATATAAATATATTAATATTTAGTATGATTGCCAGTGAGACAACTCTCCACCAGTGACCAAATGACGTAAAAGGCTAGCAGCTAAAGGTCACCGTGTGGCCTTCAGCAATGATCAAATGGGCTTTAAAAAACGAATGTAAAACAAGTCACAAGAAAACTAACGGCCTGATTTATTTAAATAAAAACAATTAACAGCAACAAACGTTAACCTTTGAATTACAGGCTCATAACTTGGTGCAGGTACGTATAGCATGTAACAAGTGTAGGTTTATATTTAATGAATCGAAGCAGCAAACTACAGATGCTTTTTTCTTATATTCATATGTCACGATGTCTCGAAAAATGAATGCTGATGTGTGTAGGTGTATGTCCGCTGAATACATTGTAGTAGTATGAGTCGATAAAAAACTAACAATTTCACGGAAAAAACGTTAACAATTAAAAGACAAAACAACAGTTTACAAAGCATAACATAACAAACACAAAAACAAAAACACGAACCCCACCAAAAGCCGGAGAAGATCTCAAGTGCTGAGGAAGGATAAGAAGATCCTGCTCAACATGTGACACAGTCTAACGACACAAAGTACAGTTATGTTCCCGAATTTACATTGGAAAGTATGAAAACAATTTCATGGCTAACATGACTGGTTCTTTACGCCATGATGTCATTACATTTAATGTGTGTCTGGTAACTGTACATAAATTTCTCTAACAGCGGTTATTTTGTTCTCAGAGCGGACATATGATCAATAACTCTGTACTAAAGATACCTTATCTTGTTCCCTAGATATTATATAACTATGCACAGTCATTGCGGTCATTGTCAATAATGAGAAATCTTAATCATACCAAATGTTAAGTACGTTATTCTGGAAGAACTTAACATTTCCCATTAGACAAATAAAAGTAAAGTGCAGTGCATTCGATATGGTCTATGTGCATTTTTCTTATTAAAATCATGGTAAAAAAACGAGGGATGAATTAAAAAGGGGATGTTCACCCAAAAGTAGCCGACAAAAATAACCAAGATAATCTTAATTTATACTTCATTTTGTGGCAGTACCAAGTAAGGCTGTCTATTCTTTCGAAGGAATCTTTTGTTGGTTTTTTGTTCAATCTGTTGTAGTTGCTAATGCTTTTGTAAGTCCTGTTATCCTTTTTGCGTATAACATTTGCGTGAGGAAACCATAACTGGAGGATACGAAAAGATTCAAGTAAATCGTCTTCGATGAAAAAAAGCTCGATGGAAAGCACGGCATTTTCAAACGCATTGAACGCTAGACGATCTATTTTCACGTTAGAACCGATGTCAATAAAAAAAAAGGAAAAAGGTGTTTATTTTAACTTATATTACGTCAGGTCACGTGTCAAAACACATTAATTGAAGGAAACATATCTCAAGTCATCTTGAGGTATATCAGCGATAATTTTGTTGGACAGTGACTGTTTTTATATGCATTTGTAATCAAGAAAAGATATAATGTTCAAACCCAATCATGTAAGCTCAACTTTGCCCAAGGCAGTAACAGACTCTGCTTATTATCAATTTGGAGTAGCTAAATTGATATACAGATGGACAGTACAACATTAACGGTAACAATTTTACTGCACCTACTGCGTATATCTCAAATAATGTTTCTTCATGGTGTCCGAATCCAAACTATTTGAATATCCTGAACCTAATACACACGTTGAGTAGCTAACAAAACTAAACAGTACCAAAAGTAAAGCCAACAGCTGAACAAGACATTAGAGCTATGCGTAAGGGAGAGGCGTTCCTTAATTTAAAATGAATTTGAAATTTAATAACAGCAAATCTAAATGAACATGACACATGGTATCCTGACTGCATATCACATTCATTCGTGCTACGTAATAATACGTTCATGGTTTTACTGCTCTTAAACTAGGTAGTTGAATTTGAATTCTCATTATTTGTTTCGAACACCCTTATTAAATCTTTTGGAGTCAAAACATACGTCTGGTATACTAAAATCTGTGTGTAATATCTGTAATGCATTTTCTTTCAAAAATTGTATACCCGCTTATTGACAAAAAAGAAAATTAGTCGTAACTTTCTGATGAGTCAGCTGAAAGTATTAGTCTGTTCATATCTGAGGGGCGTTAAATGCAATTGATTTCATTATAATTCACTTGCGGTAAATTTAAAGTCGATTATGTCACGTTTCGGGGATCTCAACATGCTATGTGAGACGTTTTTCTCAAAATATTTACTGTCTACGGCTTCATTCATTTTACACATTTCAAACTGGAGTTCGACATTCGAAATCCACATCAGTGTGTATTATACGAAAATCAAATAATCCACAGCAATTTAGTTTTAATCTGAAATTTGTAATTAATTTTTGATAAAAGAATTGAACATTCCTAACAGATTTGCGCTAGCTTCCATGTAAATCTTCAAAATTGAATCCCACAAATGTTTGATATCTGGAAATGATATAACACCGTTCGGTTTATTCTCTTTTTTTTTAAATATAGTGAACATGTAGATTATTTTTGATTGATACACTGTTCTGATTCAATTTTCAACTAAAACGCTTATAATAGCAAAATTCATCCACCAAAGGTCCATTTTGACCAAAGGAATTGCAACATTACGTTTATTTTGCACAGTTCATAGAATGTAATCTACTGATCGAGATTTAAAAAAGCGAAGCTGAAATCTTAAAAAAACTAGTTTGACACTACCACATTTTCATGTGCATGTCCCAAACCAGGACCTTCGTCAGTACATGTAATTGTGGTTTGTCATATCTTAAATGTATACCCTATTTGGAGATTTGAGTTTTAATGTTTTTTTGTTGTTTTTTTGGTTGAATACAGTCAGAATTCGGGACGATTGAGAGAGCTTAACTTTTTGTAAAGACTCATGTGTATTGCTGAAGACTGCGTGTTGCCTCCTAGATAACTTTTAGTTATTGTAATTTTTACTAATTGACATATACCACACAACTCATTTAATAAAAATACGTTTTACACACTTGCCAATACCAATGCCAAATGTTTAAGTATTGGATACATTATATCGCGAGGATTACAACACGCAGTTTTTGTTGTAGATTTTTCTACCAGATCAGTAGTCAGCACAATTGTACAGGCATTCAATATCATAAAAACGGACATTCTATGTAAATTATTTGTTCATCACATGCTAAAATAGCTAAAACACTAGGGTTTTAAGCCCCGAAGCATAGATGAACTTAGCAAGATTGAGTACATGTTTTTGAATTTTATTTTTTTTGTATTGCTTTGTTGGCGTTCCCTTTTATAAGCATGGTATATGTGATACCTTTTCCCATCTTTTACAGAATTGTTGTTGGTATTTTATTTTTGAATAAGCTTAAGATAGTTTAGGTCCAAATCGGAATAGAAATAATGGAATATTTCGTACGACCATCAATTTTTGCATAATCTGAGTGGTTCATAGTGACCGGAAGGACTTTACAATGACCATTATATTTATTAATCGTGATAAAGGTCCAAGATAGCTGTCCGAAATATTGCATAACCTGACGTACTGCTGCCTTAAACTTGTATTTAAACAGACATTCACTAGACATTGTCGCATATTTATATATAGATATACATATACCAGGTAGGAGAGTACTACAATTAATTAAACATATACAAGATTAATTGCTGTAAATTTAGAGGCAGCGTTATATATAACATAGTAATGTTTATTCTACAATTAAGAGTTTGGGATATAGTATATACGCATGTCTATTGCTGATAACCTTATGTTGACTATTATATGTAATTTGGACATTTGTGTTATTGGAATGTTGTCACATAGACGTTTAATCCCACATCAGCTTTTATAAATAATATTATATGATCAAAAGATGAACTTTCTTTCCGTATTAGCGTGCATTGTTGATACGGTTTAACACTATCTTATTATATGTTAAACCGTTCAGTGTTCTACAGAAACAACGCTGTATGACACTTCAAATAACATCAATTTTCCTACGTTCAATGTTCAACCAAAAATGCAGGAAATAAACAGACCATGAAATATCTTAATTGCATTAAGCAGCACGTAACAAATTACCGTTCTGATGATTACAAGTTTGCTATTTTTTTAATGTTTCGTAGTTCAAGTCAATGGCAGCGACCAATTTTTAACTTCGTTCTACAAGATGTATTGTGTTGTCAGTTTTGAATTATTTGCGTCGGTAATTCAGATTTTATTCTAATTTGTTACAGATTCCAAAAATTACATTCAAGATGAAATTGATCTTCGCTCTCCTCGTTCTCTTACCAATTGTCTTCAGTGCTCCATCCGAGAGATTTCTTTGTAAGTATACTGTTTGAAATAGCAAAATGAGTATTTATGACAATTCCAATACGTTATAATGATATCATAATATTCCGACATAATGTCAACTTACTAGTATCTAGTATGGATAATACTTGTTTTTTCGTTTTCTTACATATCCAAGATGAACTATTTTGTTTTTATTAATACTAGATACAAGTTGATTCCGCTATTTTATTTTTACTCAACTTGTCCCATTTGGTTTGCTTATATACATGTGTAAATCTTTGTAAGAAGATCATATCTAAAAGAAGTAATACATACAATTAATTGGTGATATTTTGTATCATGACAATATATTGTTTGTTTGATTTTCAAAAATTCCATTCATTTAAGGTCAAATGGATATTCATTCACCCTTATTGTACGTCTTGTTGTACTCACAAACATTTCAATTGACTTTCAATATATAAGTAGCCGTATGTTATTTTATTGCAGTGGATACATTTGGTTTGGACTCCGTTTTAAAACAGGTAGAACAGTTTGCTCATTCTGGTATGGCTCATGATACATGTGTTGCTGAATGCCAGAAATTAGGTGGATTCTTCTCATCCTTCTGTGACCCTGCTTGCACAACGTAAGTTAATTTTGCTTGGCTATACACTTTCATAATGCTATTGGTCAATGTTTTGTTTATATGTTGATCATTAATAAAGTTTACCTGCGAATGACACCTCAACTGACATCATTGCGATACAATGTTGTTTTTGGCAAACATAAACACAATTAAAACAGTATCGGTCTTGTTCTAAATTCATATTGTTCTGAACAGTGCTATCTGGTTCACTTCATGAAGTATATTACAGTTTCTCTAATTCTTCGTTAATTTATCCCTTTCTGCACCCATTGTATAAAAAAAAATTTAATCAACGTGTGGTTCGTTTGATCTCAGTTCTTCATTGGTTAAAATCCGATTATGACGTCGAATTTTCTTGCTTTCCTCTGAATTTCCTATTGTGACGGCATGAAAAAAGGCGACCATACCTGATGACGTCCCATAGAAAGAACACATCTTTTTGCAGATCATTCGAAAAGAAGGAATAAATTTGCCTGCGTATTGTTTGAAAATCATTAGATAAACAGATTCCACCACCAAATCTCGTGTACTACGATATTTATCCACTCTCGACAGTTAAATTTTAAATATTTAAAACGCTCGGCGAGCCTCGCGTTTTAAATTTGAAAATTTAACTGTCTCGAGTGGATAAATATCGTATCACACTCGATGCAGTGGTAGAATCTATATTTATACAACATGGTAATATTTTTTCGCAGTGTCGAATATAACATTACACACACCAGTAACACGACTACATTTATAAAGTAATAAACGACCTGGATCAACCCTTCGTTTGTATGAAAGATATATCGGTACCATAATATGATTATACGCTTACGCGAGGTGAGCGGAGTAAATATAAACTGTACATACGAAATTGAATATTATTATCTAATAGCAGATACAAATTGTTTAATTTGCTCTAAAAGACCAAGGTTATGTTTAAAAGATTATCAACTTTTATCATTGAAACGAGCCTTATCTCAGAAATTGGCTATGATTCTTTAAAACACAATTTTCATCGGAAATGGGAGTTTTTACTGTATCAAATACCCATTGAATATGATTATGAAAACAAAGTAGAAAGTATAAAATCTACATTCAAATTTGACGATTATGACAAACGACAAATAATGCTTAACAATACAAAGAAAAATACAGCTTTAGCATTTTTAGCTAGATAGACCTACAAAAGGATAAACTCAGATAATATTGAAATCATGTCAAATTCCATCTCATAAAGGGCAATTGGTAATGATTGCCTAGTGTTTTTTGCTTTTCCTTATTTGCATAGGATAGATATTGCTGAAAAAAATTCAACAGGTAAATAGTCAATACATTTCTTTTAAAATACCGAAAATTAAACAAATGCTTTTTTTCTATTTTCAGAGCCCTCGCCTTGGTACCAGCTGGACAATAAACGTGTATTTGTTAACACTCATAAGTTATATATGTTTTGTAAGATTTAAATAAATTTCATATTTAAACTAGGTTGGTGTGTTGATAAACATAATTATAGTGTGCTCTTTAGAATGGAAAATACAACATTGATGGTAAGGAATCATTTTCATACCTGTCAATCTCAAACGAAAAGGATAGTATATACTCCATGAAGCAATAAATTCATTGATAGGTTAAGTTTGGCTACAGTAGCAACAGTGTTTAATATATTTCATCTTTTATAGATCTGGTTATCCCTTCAGGAACACCTGAGATCACCCCAGGGTTTTGGTATTTTTTAAGTCAGTTTGTTTTCGACTTTTGATTTTGAATATCCCTTGTGTATATACTTTCTCACCTCTTTTACAGTAGTAAAAATTGTATAAATAAAATCCGGTACTTATATTAATATTTAATCAGTTTATGTTAGAAGTAAACATATATGCTTCTACATGTTTAAATTGGTTAAGAGGCAACCCAAAAACACAGAACGGTGGAGTGTGACTTGGTATCAATTTTTACTTTGTGGACAAATGCCTTTGTCACTATTATGACTTTATTACCTTTCTACTTAGTTCATATATTCTTTATCGTTGATAATTCTGATATGATTTGATTAAAATCCTTGAAAGTAGGAATCCATATAGATATCATATTATAAATCAACTGCAGGTTTACCCATCGTATAAATAATCTATTCATCCATCTCAGATAGAACTTTGCATCCTTCAGATAAGATACGATTTCTCAGTTATTTTGGTCATATCATCATTCAATAATCCTAGAAGAAAATCCAATATATATGTAAAACCTGGAATTTTGTTGGGTTAACTCAGAAGTAGAGACTACGTCAATCCAATGTCCATTTTTACAAACATAAGGTTGTACTATTATGTTGGATCCGTCAAAGGTGGTATATTACTTGCCCCTATCACTAATTTCCTTATGCAACCTAGATAATAAAATGTCGGTATGACTAAAAAATCATGTAAATTACTCTACATAACAGTAAGCACTTTATACATTACAACATTATATAAACTGTTAAGACAAGTTCAAATGAATCACAAAGATCCCGAGTACACAAGACAAGCACATATCACACAGTAATTGTACTCTACAACAAAATCAAAGTATACTGATTGTTTTCTTCAAAATGATACTTTGGGATCTTTAAATTTATTTTCGTATTTTTGTATGCCTTGTCATTGACAGTTTATTTCGACTTTTAAGTTTGAGTATACCTTTGTTATTTTCCGCCTTTCCTTTACAGCAATATTCTGTTGAACTTAAGTTTTAAACACGACAACCATATCAGTAACCGAACATGCATTTGAAAAATTGTCACAAACAATTAATTTGATTGATTTCTGGTTACATTAAAGACAGTATATGTTTTACCATTATGTGCGGCTAACATTATCTCAATAAGCATTCTTTATTTGTATTTTTGATATCCAAAGCAATCATATTGCAGCGTTTTTCTGAATCGGTCTGATGATTGAAATGGCATTTGACATTTGCGGAAATTTCTATCAAGTTTGTCACAAATATGTTCTCTCAGTTCAAAGTCGGCGTCTTTGAAGGCAATTGCAATGCTTAAACGATATTTTGATTCAAAAATCATTGGTGATGTTTGTTGATTGGAACTATACCTGATCATTCTGAGACATCTACTCCTGTAGGTCAATTACATTTGGTATTTGTGGATGCACAATATCATATTGTAAGAATAGGCCGATAAATTTTCCTGGACACAAATTGGATTGGAATGATTAGGCTGCCAAAAATCATGTCGCTTCCATTGCCTAATATATCAAATTTCTGTGGATGAAAGGCTTATTTCAGCGCCCATATACGAGGTCTCTTTTATCTCGTCTTTGCAGAAGAAAACGTGACTCGTTATTGAACCAAAGTCGAGACCCTCAATATTTGAAACCAACGAATAGGTGCACGGTCAGTTTGAGATTGTGCTTCTGCACTGTTACTGCAACTTTTATTTTATGGTCTTGAAAAATATACCTAGCGAAAAGCTGAATTGTTCTTACCGGACAAGTGCTAGCTTCAAGTAACTTTAAAGTGGATCTACCTATGTGTTTCTTATTTTGCATAGTATATAACTAGTATAAATTTAATAGATAAAAAAATCAGATCTTAACGTATCAGGAATGTGATATAGATAACACGGCAGTAGTTAAAAATATCAACCACAAAGAAAATCGCTGCACTCAACAAGAAATGAACCATTTTTAATCACGAAGGGCATTTTGAATCATTCTAAACAGCGCATAATTATTACGAAACAGAATGCTAAACCTGATCTTCATACAGGTAAAAACGACGCAATTGTCGTACTAATACAGGTAGTACAGTAACAATTCAGAACATTCAAGACAAGTCATTGAAAAGATGGAACACACGTAGAAACCAACCAAACTGATCCCAAACATTTTGAATGGATAAGCAGCTTTCGATTCGCTAATGTCGAACATTGTAATCGGCAAATCAACTACGGCGATCGCTGCATTCAACAAGACAAGGACAAAATCAACCCCGAAGAAATATGTTGCACAAAAGGCAAACAAAAGTCCACCAAACAGAATACTTAAACATTAACAATAAGCTAACCCCCGTAAAAAGAGAAGATCCGAGGTATTCCGAAGAGGATGGTAGTTGCTATTTAACTGGTTATGATCCAGATTTTCTTTAAACCAATCAATACAATTACTGCTCAGAATAAAACACATCTGCATTAATGACGAAGATATACGCACTACACACTTTTGAAATGTATAACTATGAAATTGACAGTTAACAATAAGCATAACGAAACAAGATTAGTACATGTGAACTCCACGATAACCTTGAATATTACTAAGTATAATATTTTTGTAATTTAAAAATATTGTCAAAACACACAATCTCTCCGGTTTCTTTTTTTTCAATAACGTTCTACTAATGGTCCAAACAACGATCGCAATGATCTTTCTCTATACGACGTGTTAGCTGCATGAAGAGCATTGAATACGATTTAATACGGTACTTTTGAGATTATTACACGCACAAGGCACGTAAATACCTATATTTAGCGAAGCAAGGCTTGGAGCAACCCGTCGTCTACCACAGTACCAATATATCTGTAATGTAGTAGGACCATTCGTTTACCGCAGAGGTTGGCGTGCAAAAGTATATAAAAAGCTTATCACCTTCTTAATGGGATTTGGGCGGATAAAGCAATGCTTCGAAAATGGTGAAACTCAACATTAAAACAGATACTATCCCGGAAATATATTACTGATTAATTTTTTTTTTAACCGTTGATAGCTATTTTTAATGGTGCTTGTATCCGGAATGAATTGATTTAAAAAAGTAGGAAACTATAACATGAATAGACAAAATCGAAGATTTGGGCTATAATTACACCTTATATAAGAATGCCGGATTTTGATTGGTTGTTAGCCAGTGTATTTTTCGCATATTCTAACATTTTTCCTCATTTCAAATGAATTTGCCTATTTTTTCACCACTGCCGGTGAATTTGCCTCAAATTCCTCTCTCTGCCGTGGTATTTGCCATTTTGGATATTCCTTTTTTACCCTCGCGAGCCTGTTCCCGCCAAAATTATTCGGAACCTTTCTCACTTTATCCCGACAACATGGTTAAGCGCTATTGATTTAGTAAAACAGAAAACTGTCAGAAATATACATATAAAGAGGGGAAAAAATGTCTATACAAATGAACGATTTAATGATGGAATAACAATGACGTTTACACATATAGATACCATGACGTTACAAAAAGACAGCACTAACGCATATAAGTACATGTATAATTCCCGCGGTACTACGATTTCTCTTCACATGCACAGACAGTTTCAATTAAAATCTATTCGGTGTAATTAAACAGATATATCATGTTATGGAGGGGTATTTGCGAAAAAATACTAGTCTTGGGACCAAATTTTCCTCGCCTAGCGGCTTGGGAAATTTCACCGTCCCTTGACTGGTATTTTTCGCAAATACCCCTCCATAACATGATATATCTGTTCAAAATACAATATTATAAACATTGCGCAGACAACTCTTATTGTGTACAACACAATAGTTTGCTTTAACTCAAATTATTTTATGAGGCCCCATTTGCCATTTAAATTTTACAGGTGAACACAAATGCATTTCATAAACTTCGGTCAAAAGACTGAACTAAAAACTCAGAGCTCTATAAAACGTTTATGAACTTTTTATCTTCTTTTCATAGCCCATATTCTATTCATTCCTTTTACACATTTGTAACTGGAGTTCGACATTCGAAATCCACATCAGTTGTATTATACGATAATCAAATAATCAACAGCAATTTAGTTTTAATAAAAATTTTGTAATTAATACTTGGTTTTGTAAAAGAATTGAACATTCCTAACAGATTAACGTTAGCTTCCATGTAAATCTTCAAAATTGAATCCCACAAATGTTTGATATCTGAAAATGATATAACATCGTTCGGTTTTTTCTTTTTTTTTTTTTAAATATAGTAAAGATATAGATTATTTTTGTTCGATACACTGTTCTGATTCAATCTTCAACTAGAACTCTTATAATAGCAAAACCCATCCACTAAAGGCCCTTTTTTGACTAAAAGAATTGCAACATTATGTTTATTTTGCAAAGTTCATAGAATGTAATCTACTGATCGAGATTTAAAAGGGCGAAGCTGAAATCTTAAAAAAACTAGTTTGACACACCACATTTTCAAGTGCATGTCCCAAACCAGGACCTTCGTCAGTACATGTAGTTGTGGTTTGTCATATCTTAATGTGTATCTTTTTTGGAGATTTTGGTTTTAATCAGTGTTTTTTGTTTTTGTTTTTGTTGAATACAGTCAGAATTCGGGACTTTTTGTATAAACTCATGTGTATTGCTGAAGACTGCAAGTTGCCTCCTAGATATTTTTGGTTATGGTCAGTTTTACTTATTGACATACACCACACAACTCATTTAATTAATATTCGTTTTACACACTTGCCAATACCAATGCCAAATGTTTAAGTATTGGATACATTATATCGCGAGGATTACAACACGCAGTTTTTGTTGGAGATTTTTTTTTACCAGATCAGTAGTCAGCACAATTGTAAAGGCATTCAATATCATAAAAAACCGACATTCTATGTAAATGATTTGTTCATCACATGCTAAAATATTTCGAAACACTAGGATTGTATGCCCCGAAGCATAGATGAACTTAGCAAGATTGAGTACATTTTTTTTAATTCTATTTTTTGTATTGCTTTGTTGACGTTCCCTATTATAAGCAAGGTATATTTGGTACCTTTTTACATTTTTTAGAGAATTGATGTTGGTATTTTGTTTTTAAATAATCTTAAGATAGTTTAGGTCCAAATCGGAATAGAAATAATGAAATATTTCGTACGACCATCAATTTGAACATAAACTAAGTGGTTCATAGTGACCGGAAGGACTTTACAATGACCATTATATTTATTAATCGTGATAAAGGTCGAAGATAGCTGTCCGAATTATTGCATAACCTGAAGACCAAACTGACGTACTGCTGCCTTAAACTAGTATTTAAAGAGACAGTCACCACACATTGTCGCATATTTATTCATAGATATACATATAGCAGGTAAGAAAATACTACAATTAATGAAAAATAACAAAAAGATTAATTGACGTAAATTTAGAGGCACCGTAATATAAAACATAGCAATGTTTATTTTACAGTTAAGAGCCTGATATTAAGTAAATATGCATGTCAAATGCTGATTACTTTATATTGACTGCTTTATGTATTTTGGTTATATTTGTGGTATTTGGGTGTTGTTTCATAGACGTTTGACCCCACATCTGTTTCCATTTATAGTAGAAGATGATTAAGGGATGAAGTACATTGAATTATTTGCTTTTCAATTAAGTGTGTATTTCTAATACGGTTTAACACTATGTTAGTATCGTTCAAACCTTCCAGTGTTCAACAGAGACAACGATTTGAGACACCTCGAATTAAAATCGATTATCCTAAGAGCAATTTTCAGCCAAAAAATATTGCTAGTGAAATAGACAGTTTATAAAATATATTTATAACAATCGCATAACAAACAACAACAGTTTTGACAATTAGCAGTATGGTAACGATCAAATGAAAATATTGCCGTACCAGATTTAATTTGTTGTCAGTTTTGAATCATGCACGATTTAAATTTAAATTTTTCATTGCTATTTTGCAGATTCAAGATGAAATTGATCTTTGCTCTCCTCGTCCTCTTACCAATTGTCTTCAGTGCTCCATCAGAGAGATTTCTTTGTAAGTATGCTGTTTTTAATAGTTTAAAATTGCAAAACGAGAATACTGACCATTCACAGTGCGTTATAACAATATCATAATATTCCGAAGTAATGTCGAAAATTACAAAATTAACGTGTTTAGTATTATGGATGGGATATTATTTTTATTTGTTTTGGTACATATTCGAGATATTGGTTCTGTTTTTTTTATTTTCAGCAATTTGTGCTTATATAAGCCTTTGTAAGTTTTGTCGTGTCAGAATGAAGTAACAAAAAAGGCAAATAATACAGAGTTAAATTAAATGTTCATTTTTGTATCATGACAATATATTGTTTGTTTGCTTTCGAAACTTGCAATTCATTCAAGATCATATGGAAATGGACCCTTATTTTACGTTTTGTGTTTGGTCTTAACTACTCTGTCGACTTTCAATATATAAGCTGACATATATTGTTTTTTCCAGTGGATACATTTGGTTTAGACACAGTCTTAAAACAGGTAGAACAGTTTGCTCACTCTGGTATGGCTCATGATACATGTGTTGCTGAATGCCAGAAATTAGGTGGATTCTTCTCATCCTTCTGTGACCCTGCTTGCACAACGTAAGTTTTATTGCTTCGCTATACAATATCAGACGTAATTGATTGTTTTTATTATATATATTGATCATAAATAAAGTTTACCCGCGAATGGTATCTTAACTAACATCATTGAGATCAAATGTTGTTGGCAAACATGTATACAATAATAACAGTATTTATTATATATTGTTCGGAAAAGTGTAACCTGGAACACTTCATGAGGTACATTCCAGATTATCAAATACAATATACAGACCTCCGTTTCGCGGCATCCGATATACTATTTCAAGTACCAGTCACGCGACTACATTTTAAAATTTATAACAGACTTGGATTAACCCTTCGTCAGTATTAAATATCGATATATCGGTAATATGATTTGACCATACATGCACTCTTACAACTGAATATTTTTGACTTGGTACAGAAATTCGGAAGAAAATTGTGGGTTAAAGCTGGTTTTATAGCTAGGTAAACATCCCACTTGTATATGGTTCCGTAATTATAGTGATTAAATTAGGTAAGCAACCCAAACAGACATAATAAGTTAATGTGACAATAATTGGGATTCAGCAGTCGAAACTGTATAAATATACATTACAGACATACAACACAACTGACTGATAATCTATACAAAAACATGCAATTTAAACTAACAAATACGCAAACAAAAAATGTGTAGTAAACAGTAATAACTCATTATAGATTTTTTCTGTAACAAATATCCGTTGATTATGATTAAGAAAACAAAGTAGAAAGCTTTAAGATATCAATAAAAAAACAGCTTTTGCTAGACAATCCTGAAAAACAATTAACTTAGATAGTTTTGAATATTTTTCACCTCAAATTCCACTCTATATGAGACACTAGTGATGTTTAATTGGTAATGTTTGCCTAGTGTGTTTGCCTTTGCTGATTTTGTCTTCATTGGACAGATATTGCTGCATATATTTAACAGATTGACATACCATACATTTCTTTTAAAAGTCTGAAAAAACCTCTTTTTTTCTCTTTTCAGAGCCCTCGCCCTGGTTCCAGCTGGACAATAAACGTGTATTTGCTAACAATAATAAGTTATATAGGTTTTGTAGTCTTACAATAAATTTTATAAGTAAATTAGTTTGATGTTTTGTTAAACATATTTAGATCGTGTATATTGTGCTCTACGGAATGGAAAACCACAACATTGATAGTAAGGCATTTATATTCCTACCCACCAGTCTCAAATGAATGTGGCAATGTTCCATGAATATTACATTGATAGGATAAGTTTAGTTACAGATGAAGAAGCTTTCGATATATTTCATGTTTTGAAGATATGCTCACCCTTCCTGAGTACAAGAGATTATCACAGGTTTTTGATTGGTTTCGTTCTGCTCTGTTTTATTTTCTATGTTGTGTTTTGTGTTCTGTTGTTTGTCTTTTCGTCTTTTTCACCTTTTTTGCCCTTGCATTGTTATTTTTTTTTCGACTTATGAATTTGAATATCCCTTTGGTATCTTTTGCCTCTCTTTTACAATAGTTCGAATGGTAGAAAGAAAATCAAGCAATTGTATTTAGTGCGTTTATCATGGTTATGTAGGAATACACAAATCAGATTTCGTCTACATGTTATAGGGCTTAAGAAGCACCCAAAAGAATGAGAACACTATAGTGTGACTTGGTTTCAATTTTTACCGTATAAAAAAAATGCGTTTGTCACTTCTATGACTTTATTACTGTATTACTTAGTTCTTTTTTTTCATTTTTGACAACTTTTTGGGTCTCATTTGATTAAATTCCCTGACAGTCGGTATCCATAGAGAAATCTTATCATAACTCACCTTAAGGTTTTCCTATCGTATGAATAACCGATTGATCCATCTCCGATCGAGCCTTGCTTTCTGCTGATAAGATATCTTTTCTCAGTTATTTCGGTCATATCATCAGTCTATGGTTAAAGATGTGATTCTTACCAATTATAAATGTTATAGCTGTAATAAATTGTTGTTTTAAATTAGAAGAAGAGACTGCGTCAATTCACAGTTCAACCCTATAAAACCTAAGGATGTACTATTTTGTCTGAATCTTCAAAAGTGATATATAACTGGCCACTGTCACTAATTGTCTAATGCAACCAAGATAATAAAATTTTGGTATGACTAACTAAATCCCCATAGTCTTGATAATAGTAAGCACTTTATACATTGCATAAATTGTGATGGTAAGTCCAAATTAATCACAAATATCCTGGGTACACAAGGCAAGCACATATCACACAGTAAATACTATACAACGAAATAAACGTATAATGATTGTTTTAGTTTTCTTCAAAATTCTATTTTTGGATCTTCAAATGTATTTTTTTCGTTGCTCAGTCTTTAGTTTTCTATGTTGTAATTTGTAGACTGTTGTTTGTCTGAGTTCAGTTTTTGGTTTTTGATTATTCCTTTTCATTCAGATATACCTTGTTGTTTTGAGTCTCTCCTTTACATCTATATCTAAGTGAATTAAGCTGAAAGTTTAAACATGACAATGATACCGAATACAAAACATTTATTTGAAAAACAGTCACATATAATAAATTGGGTTGATATTTATATAGATCACCCCGAGTTTTTGGTGGGGTTGTGTTTTTATGTTGTGTTTTGTGTACTGTTGTTTGTCTTTTTGTCGTTTTCTTTTTTAATCATGGTGTTGTCAGTTTATTTTCGAGTTTAAATGTCCCCTTTGTTATCTTTCGCCTTTCTATTTATACCCATGTGCGGCTGACACTGTTTTTTTCTCCTTAGTAAGGATCAAATTAAAATTATAATTCGCACTTTAGGTATTTTTTTTTGTAATTATGTTGCAGCACTTTACTTAGTTGATCTGATGATTAAGATCGGGATTAGTTTCTACCAAGTTCGTTCAATACATAGTATCTGTGTTAAAATTCGGCGACTTTGAGACCATAGCAATGCATCAATGATAGTCAAAGTTCAGAAATCAATGGTCACTCTTGGTAAATGGGACTACGTTTTATTGTCTTTAAAACACCATCCTCTGTAGGTCGACATCAGTGTACATATGTGGCTGCAAAAAATCGATTGTAACAATGGGTCAATAAATTTCATTTGTAAGACTATGCTGCCAAAATCAATGACCAAATATGTAAAATGTCTGTTGGCTCAGCGTCTTTATGCGGGGGCTAGTTTATCTTATCTTTGCAGAAGAAAACGTGACTTATTACTGAGCCAAAGTCAAGACTAGCAATATCAAATGACACTTACAAATAGGTGCATGGTCAATTTGATATTATGCTTATGCACTTTAACTGAAACTTCCATTTAATGGTCTTGAAAAATATCTTGTCGAATTGCCTACTTATTCTTACCGGGCAAGTAAATTTGAATCGGACACATGCGTATCTTTTTTTGCAGAGTAATCATAGATTTAAGACATATTCTACATGTGTAGTACAGAGAGAAAACATATCAGGTCATAACTTATCACAAATTGTTACAAAGACAGCAAAGTAATAATTAAAAAAAAAACGACCACGACGAAAATCGCTGGTCACAATAGGAAATGCACAAGTTTGAACAACGAAGGGGATGTTTGAAGCATTCTTTACTGGGGCACAATTTATAACTGAACAGTACATTAAACATGACCATCATACATGTTACAACGAAGCGATAGTCATACTCATACAGACAGCATATCTCAAATTCAAAGCATTAAAAACAAATCATTGAACAGCTTGAACACTCGTTGAATCCGGGACGATCCCAAAAATCTCGAATGGATAAGCAGCGTTTGATTTGCTAATACCATAAACAGTAATCTTCAAATCAACTAAGGACGTTACTGCATACAACAAGACAAACATACAATCAACCTTGTGCAGGAGCAAACAAAAGTCCACCATACAGAACATTCAAAACAAATATTAAGCAACAACAACAAAAAACAAGAGGAGAACCGAGGTTCTCCGAAAAGGATGACATTGAGCTGTATTTAAAAAAAAACAGTAAGAAGAAGCAAGAAACTTTAAACATTAGAATAACACTTAACAAATGTAGTGTTACCGAAGCATTTGTCTGAACTTACCTTTACGCTAAAAACAATTAATAATAAGGTCGTGGTGCATAAATTTTCACCGTACATAAAGTCTTTCAACTAAAGTGACTTCATTTTGATCAATTAATGTTATAGGAAAAATACATATTCATTTTCTCCTGAGAATCAAAACAGTTTCTTTTTTTATAATAACGATCTACATATTGTTTCGAACAAAGTTTGCAAAGATCTCCCTCTTATGTAACGTCGTTCACTTTATGAAGTGCATTGAATACAATTTGATACGATGTTTTTGAGATATAACACAACTCGCACAAGGTCAAATATCTATATGAAGTGAAGCAAGGCTTGGAGCATTACGTCGTCTGCAGCAATGCCAATATATTATTACTTTTGTATTAATTGCTCTATTTAAAACAATTTTATTAGGCTCTATTGTCATGTATATCTTAAAGGTAATCACTACTGCATTTCATCGACTTGTGCTTTTCCTGGTCGGTTTCACTTTGGGTATTTACTCAGGACATGATATACTGAGTTGTGGATATAACAAAATTTGCAGATTAGATCAACAGTTATTGTCAGTCGTAAAGGATGCTGATACATACCATGCAGGCACAGCAATATTTTTTTATTGTAGGGTCTTCTAAATATGTGACAACTTGACAACACAACTTACAATCGGATAATATATGGTTATAGATAAAGCAAGATTTCCAAGCGGTGATGCCGAAATCATCCATTCGAAAACCTTAGGGGCAATATAACGAGTTGGTTGACCGTTATGTAATATCTGTTTTACAATAGTCGTTACAACAATCCCGTCCCTTTTTGCTCGAATGTGACCTACTGAATTAGATTTATCACTGGTTTTGTACTTGTCCTGTCTTAAGCGGCGCAGGATCTGTTTAACCTTCTGCAGCACCTGAAATCAACCGCAGTTTTTTTTGTGATGTTCCTGTTGGTCAGTCTTTAGTGTTCTATGTTGTGTGTTGTATACTGTTGTTTATCTTTTGGTCGGTTTTTGTTTTTTGCTATGTCGTTGTCAGTTTGTTTTCGACTTTTGAGCTATTACTTATTGAACGAATTTCAAATTTCAATATATCTTTTTTATAACGAATTTATATCTAAAAATCATACAACATTCCTCATGCACCATACACTATTTTCCATGCACCATACACTATTTTCCATGCACCATACAACAATTTATTAGATACCATTATTTAATACACACTTTATTTGGAAGTTTTTAAGGAATGTTTTGCAAATTGTTCTAAAATATTAGTCGTAATGGGTCCTTTTTTATCTTCAATATTGTGAGGAATATTTCTGTGATCCTCTTTTTTTTTATAGAGACACACGAATATGATTAACAGTTTTCATGAATGAATTAAACTAGGTATGGCGATTTTTGTATGGCATCAATGTTCGAACTGTTTCTTGATGATATTGAAACCAATCTAGATTTGATTCTCTATATTTAAAGAAAATATTGTGTTAACGTGAAAGATTCATTATCCTATCAACTCACAAATGTGAGCAGTTCCTATTTCACACAAGATAGGTCCATAAGCGTCTTATAATCAATCAAAGGACAATAGCTGCCAACAATAAAATTATCATATGCTTTCAAAGCTAGATCACCACGAAATATCCCGAAAAGGCCATAAGCAACTAGGCCAACTTTTGAAATAATAACGTTAACATAGACACACGACGTAAACAGCCGATGAATTGTATAAAAACCATGTACGACAATACCAGTATATAATACCACGAATCTGTTGAATACTATGAGATTCAAACTACTTAATTGGAACTGCAGCCTCAATACAAGTAATGTTGATCAAATGAAAGCATTTAAAAAAATATATAAATGAACATTGAAAAACATAGCTGATTTTCGAACCAAATACCAAATAGAAATTTAATTTTCTTCGTATCAAAGGCTGCTTTAGCAATATTAATTTCAATGGTGTAAATAATAGGTGTAAAAACCAGTATTAACAAAGCTGGCATACCGAATTAAGTTTGAACAGGGAAACTCTTGAGAGAAACATATAACAAACCATC